TTTTTTAACTCTGTTCCTGAGCATTATAACCCCAATTTGCTATTGTGTGCTGCGCATTTTACTGAGGACAGCTTCCACAACACGAGTGAGTAAAGTGCCTGCCGGATTCGCCCAAACGTTTTTGTTGAAAGACGGAGCAGGGGGCGTAGCAGTACTGAAACACTGTCTAAGCTGTTCGCCAATCACAACGCACTGGGACAGCTAACCAATCACAACACATTTTGTTTTTCGGAAGGTGGACCTTCATCAAAGCCGGAACTAATCGAGCCATTTGTGCCAGGCTGGGGAGAAAGGTATTTTAATAATGTAAATTATGTGAAAAATAATGCGTTTTTCGAACCACCAAGCATGAGAGCATGTTCTAGTACACCCCCAAAACAAAATCAAGACTTTGTAAAAGAGCATAATAGGACCCCTTTAAATAATATTTCACAATATTACTATTTTTATTATATTAAAATCAAATAAATGCAGCCTTGGTGAGCATAAGAGACTTCCATTTATAAAGATTTAGATTTATACAGAAGTTGGACAAAATAACGTAAACACCCATCATTTGCCTTTAATACAGCTTCCAGCCTTCTTTGACTAAATTCATACCATTTTGTAATAGTCTCCATTTGAATGGCATCTGTCAGAACATGTGCCCGTTGTTTTACAGATGTTGAAGGAGGGAATTGGCTATCCATTCTTCTCTTTGAAACTGTCCACAGTGGTTTGATAATATTCAAATCAGTTGATATGTCTGGCCAGGGCAGATGTTTTATCTTCCAGGTTTGACATCATGATACCATCTTTTTTGCATTTTAGCATTGTCTGTGATTTCAGTGTTAGCAGTTGCAGCTCTTTCATGATTGTTGGCTTTGTGAAGTTCTCTGTGGTCAGATTTTGTGGAAACCTTGGGTTTAACCTTCATGGTTAAAATGAAGTTTGCTGTCTTTTGCTGCAGTAGTTCTTTGTTGTTTGGACACAATCCTTCTCAGTGTTTGACAGTCCTTATTGTTCACTTTCAGTTTTCGCCAACTACTTTATTTCACTCACCATGCTTTGCATATGCAGTCGTAATCAAAAAGACTGCTGTTCTTAAAGCACCTAACAATTGGGTTTTAAGGTTACAGACGCTCCTGCTAAAGGGGCTTTCATGATTCGTCGTTTGTGGAAGTCTGTCAAGTCACCCATTTCACAAACCACTAGTACTAACCACTGCTGAACACAACTTGTACCACGCTAATATACAAACCAGAGAGTACAAACAATGAAAAGATAAATAAAAATAAATCGCAACGTTTGTTATTTCACTGCAGCCTACAAAAATTATATAAACCTTTACTGTATAATAATGGGCATTTACGTCATTTTGTCTAAACTCTGTATATAAATCACACATCATTCACACCTATGAAGTTTCTCTGTCATCAACTTTTCACACCCACAAAAAGGATGTGATCTTATTTTTTCCAACCAGCATTTTCTTCTCAAGAGTACAGGCATGGTCTGAACCAAAAGAGTTGTTCCACTCAACATTTAAAGTTTCAATCAAACAAATGAGTCAATTCTGCCGTTCTTTATCAGAACTAGTAACAAAACAATTGCCACAAAAACAACATTAAAGAAATAACAATTTCTCAAATGTACAGAGAGAATACAATCCACTTATTCGAAACAATGTTCATAAAGCAATGCTAAGGTGAAAAACAAGGTGTCATTTACTCACCTGGTTTTTGAACAAAGGTAGCGCGGTTGTCGTAAGGATGATCGGAGACGGACTGAGCTCTGAACAGACCACAGGGAAGAGTGGAGGCAGAACCTACAAAACATGAGCAGGCATGAGGGATAGATGGAGTTACACACTGACTATTTGTGCCAAATAATATAAAAATACCCCAAAACACAACACGGGGCAAGTTGTCACAATGGGAGCCTGCCTATTAGAGACTATTTAATGTTATTCTTTAAGTGAAATTTTAACAGTAAAATGATTATGAAGTACAAAACAATTGACAAAACGGCAAAATATAAAAAATGGTCCAACCTGATAATGCACTGCCATTAAATCTGACATAGCTAGGGAAACCAGGCATGTGTAACTGAACCGTTGTTGCTGAGCTTTCCCTTAATACATATTACTCTTCATTCACTAATTCTGTCTCTTTACATGTCTCATCAGTATTATATGTGCTGTATTATTAAATGTTAATAACCAACAGTTCTCCATTCTCATTAATGCATTTACAGCGTAAATTTGCATTTAATGCATTTAAGCGTGACCTTGATTTGAGACTTTAGCTTCATCTTCTGTTAAGCTCTCAGACCTCCAGTTACACACAACATGACTGCAAGAAAACTCCATCTCTGTGGGTGATAAGAAAAAGAGAAAGCCTTGGTAAAAACAGTCAGACATACTTGCATCAAGTTCTTTACAGTCAAATTAAAATAGAAACCTGTAACGCCCAGGCACTTTAAAATAACAACTTCAGCACGTATCTCTTAACACTTTCCTGGTTGAGCTGTGTACACTGAGAACGGCAGATAATGCTTTGTTTTTCTCTGCAGTTTTGGCAAGACTGTAGTTTTTATTTTTTTTGAAGACTTTCATTTCCTGCTAAAAGGGTGTACTTTTACTTTGATCTCAGTTGCTGGAAGCAGTTACACATGCGGTAAACAATGGCACAGTTTGATTTTCTTCCAAAATGATCTTAATCCAGAAAATGACGTGCTTAATCATTAAAACAATGCTAGTATGTGCCTTTGCCGTCATCAATCACTGCGGTTTTATCTTTTCTTCTCTGTTCTTTCCTTTCCTTTTCTATTAAAGTTTGCAAAAACCAAGAGCCAACACACCCTGGTGTTATAATTTTTATAAGATGTATAAAATAATACAATGTTAGAATGGTAGTATTCATTGAAACTACAAGCAAAATGAGTGAGGGGTTGACTTTACTGATACAAGATACATGGTAATATACAGTATAATAGAAACAGCCTATTAATCACAAGGGCATCATCTCTGATGAACTCTACAATGTTTGAAATGTACCTACCTGGTGATGGTAGATCAAAATAAAACGTCTGTCATTCAGCTTGCATAGAAAGCCAGCAACATTACAGTCCTGCGCTTCACACACCTACTGTGCATGTTTGACTGTGTGCGTGAAGACACAGGAAGTCTGTGGGTGCATGACTAGAAGAAAAAAAAGGTAAAGAATAAGAGCGAGAGAGAAACGAAACAAGATGTCCAGCTTGATTGTGTGTCTCGGTGTAGATTTAAATACACTCGTTTTTGTTCTCCTTTTTCCGCTTTCATCTAACATGGACTTTGATTCAGATGACAGGCTTACCTTTACATAGAGAGATAATTCAGTCATTTAATCATTAGCAGCAGGGCAAGGCTTTCACACTGGGTGTAATATAAATAGTAAGTCATCACACTCACGTCGTCACAATAAATATTCCCCTAGGCTCAAAACGGGATAGTCAAGTTTCTTCTGTAGACATGTATGAACATGCGGGTGGGAGTATTATGAGCACGTAATCCTTTACCTGCAGGAAAAACATAAAATATATGCATTATCATCACATTAGAAGGATAGTTCACCCAAAAATTCAAATTTTGACATTATTTACTAAAATAAATATTTTGAGAAATGAGAAAAATGGAAGTCAATGGTAACAAAAACTAGAGGTATAGAATGGCATGAGGGTAAGTAAATGATGACAGATTTTTGAATTTTTGAGGGAACTATCCCTTTAACATCTGATTATTCAAAATGATGTCGCCACAGATTAAAATGTAGCAAATGTTTTCTTTATTTATCAGTGACATTAATTCACTTTACAATGAAATGCATTTAAAATGTGATGTTAAAACATGTTTACTAGAGTTAAATTGACTTTTAATAATGCTCCTTTTCCATTCAAACCTTATTTATATAAAAAAAATGTAAATTACAAGTATTAAACGATGATAATGGTTTACAATAGTAAACAAAAACAATTCAGCAAGTCAGTCACTCATCTTTTCATTGCTTCATTAATGGCAGTACATTGATTAATTATTCAGGATTTCGAGCATTGAAGCAAAAAAAAACGTGTAAATTCTGCTAAATGAGTGGCACCAAACTGCAATGCAAAAATGATTACTGTTATAAAATGTTTGCTTGGACCAAAATCACACAATTGATTGAGCCATTGCTTCTATGTGGGCCAAACATAGTTGAATGCTGAGCAACAGTTTTTACACTACTTTAAGGATGTCATCCTATTAACATCACATTTAACAGGGTGTGTATTTTAAAATTTCACACACCATCTTGAAGATCTGCAATAATCAAATGTTAGCAAACACGTGTTTTGTTTACAGCCTTTTTCTTTACTATTCCTTAAAAGGATAGTTCACCCAAAATGCAATTATTCATCATTATTAATTCTTCTTTCAGATAAATACAATCAGTTAGGGATGCTCGATTATGACAAAAAAAATCATAATCACGATTATTTTGGTCGATATTGTAATCACGGTTATTTAACACTAGTATTAGTGGGCCATATGACCAAAACTTTATATGAAATATTTAAAGATTACCAAAGATTACCAAATATATATTTTCTGTAAATAAGGTTGCTATGACATCTACATTTTAGAGACCAGCGAAATGTCACAATTCTCAATCCCACAACAGAGTATTAGGGTAACTGATATTAGTTCAAAATTAAAAAAAACAACAACAACAACAACAACAAAAAAGGTCCTCAAAATGATTAAAAATAATTAAACTGCCAGTAATAAAAAAGCAAAGGAATACAATAGAATAAAAAAGATACAAATTAAACAAACTGTGCTTTAAGTTTTTTTAATGCAAGTCTAAAGTATTCAGTTAACAGCCTACTAGAGAAATTGAATAATCTAATGTAAAATAAAACAGCATAGTCTTCACTGTAAGAATTAAATTTCCTTTGTTTCTTATTAAAGCTACAAAAGTCCTTCACTCGAGCAATGTGTGATTTTGTCTTTGTCTTTTGTTGTTTGATTAATATTAAAGCACACAGTTGCAGCAGGAATATTAGCCTGCTGTCACTTTAAGAACTGCACTGACCCAATTTACCGTATTTTCATTCTCAACTGTTTACGTTCATTTATTGCATAATCGACGAGGTTTACGTGAATAATCACTAAGCCCCGCATTTTCACACTTTTTTGCATGTATTTGACCGTTTAGGCACTAAAAGTTGACTTTACACGTCTGTGTTCTGCTCCGATTCTGAGCGCATGCACAGTAATCCTCCTGAGGAACAGTTCTCATTAGCGCTTTTAAAAACATGAATAAATCTAATCAACTTGAATAAATCAAGCACGTCCCATTTTGCAAAAGTCTCATTACATGATTTTACTGATTTGCACGTGAAATTGGGCTTTAATGGAGGAGCGAAAGAGCACCGCTAGAAAGGGGGCGGAATGGGGTGCAAAAAACGTTTTATCTCGATTACTGTATTTTCATAATTGTTGGAGGCCAAAATCGAAATCGAAACTGAGTTTTGATAAATTGCACAGCCCTAATCAGAGTTATATTAAAAAATGTCCTTTTCATTTTTGGGTGAACTATCCCTTTACGGAACTGTTGGTGAGCTTCTCTTCCTCTAGGCCTTCAAAGCATTGAGGATGGCCTTCAGTATGGCGGCTACCGCTACGGCACCAGGGTCAGGCTGGGTCAAATGTTGAGATGCAACGTAACTGGCACGTCCAGCCCTTGCAGTGAGATTGCGGGTCGATTCCGCTCCCAAATCTGCTTTCTGTTACAGATAAGCAAGAGGGCAATATTATAGATGCAAGAAATTATGAGAACACAGGAAAGCTAAACATGGCCAAAGTGGAAGTCCATACCTCCACTGCTGATTGTAGTATAGTTATGTGACCATCAGGGGGCGCTCCCAGGGATTCTGCTAGTCTGAGCCATTCCTGAATGGCTGAAGTAGACAACATTGTGAGGGCATGTAAAACAGTCGTTTAAAAAGCATAATACATATGCACAAAATTAAGCAATACTGTATGTTGGTTTAAATGATATGTGCATTGTTTAAATGTTTAAAATGTTTTACCATTAGCTATGAGAGCATGTGTGCTCCCACAATCTCCATCTCCTGCTGCACGGTCCAAAGCAAGAGTTCCTCTTGGTGCTGCAGGAGGATCCTGCACACGGACTCCAACACTAATCGAATGACTGAAGACAGCGAACCTGTGGAGCAGGACCACTGTGTTGATGAAGTGCTTCGGGTATTTCAGTACAAATATACACTACTGTTCAAATGTTTGAAGTCAGTAAGATTTTTTTAAAAGAAATGAATAATTTTATTCAGCAAGGAAGCATTACATTGATCAAAGTGACAGTAAAGACATTTATAATGTTACAAAAGGTTTATATTTTAAATAATGCTGTTCTTTTGAGCTTTCTGTTCACCAAAGAATCCTAATTCAGCTTTGCCATCGCAGGAATAAATTACATTTTAAAATATATTAAAATAGAAAACTGTATTTACTTTAAATTGTAATAATATTTTACAATATTAGTGTTTTTACTGTATTTTTGATTAAATAAATGCAGCCTTGGTGAGCATAAGTGATGTTCTTTCAAAAGCATTAAAAAATCTTACCAACCACAAACTTTTAAAAGGGATATTATTTGTCATAAAATATTTAACCATGTTAATTTTTGTATTACAAATATTAGATTTATTTTACTAATAGTGCTGTCAAACGATTAATCGCGATTAATCACATCCAAAATAAAAGTTTTTGTTTGCATAATATATGTATGTGTTCTGTGTATATTTACACACACATACAGTATATATTTTGAAAATATTTACATGTATTTACATGTCTATATTTCTATTCATATAATTTCTATTATAAATAAATATATTTAATATATAAAAATAAATTTTTTCTGAAATATATACATGCATGTGTGTGTATTTATAGATACATAATAAATGTACACAGTACACATATATTATGTAAACAAAAACGTTTATTTTGGATGCGATTAATCGCGATTAATCGTTTGACCGCACTAATTATTAATGAAATAATAAGGTTTAAATACATATTTAAATCCTGAATTACATTACAGGAAATACAAATAAACTGAGGCATATATGTCTAAAATTTGAACAATGTATATTTTGATTGTCTCTCTGTCTCTTCTCTACCTTCAGTAAAATTATCTGAAGCTGCAGCAAGTTTTTCTTCAGGTTCCTCCCACTCACAGAGGCTGTGCTGAGGTTAGGCCAGGCCGGGGCTGTGGTTTTAGCATCTGAGAAACACAAATCAGAGACTCTCCACTACATATTCATTTCAGACTATACTGGCAATCGAGTAATTTTAGTATTTTAAATAGAGAGTGTGCGGTGAAACTTTGTCCAAAGTATAAAACGTTGTATTAGAATTTTCAGTTATAAGTCAAAATTACTCTCTTTTTTGAGAAAATAAACAAATGATTCCAATCTCAAGGTAAGTATGCTTGTAAAATTGGTTTTAAACAGAACGCACCAAACAGTCTGAGCATCTCTTCATCGACCTTCATTAAAGAAAGAGACATTCCCGCCATCTCCAGAGATGTCATAAATGATCCAAACATCACCCTGACAACCAGCACACCACGCTCCTCTAAAAACGACAAACACTGAAAACATTATTTATTCTATTCATGCAAAAAAAAAGAAGAATTGTCTAAAAGTATGTAAAGCTGAATGTTGCACAGTATATGATTTAGAATGTGTTATGCTACTTGAGCCTCACCTAGGCAGTGTACAGCTGCTTTAGAAACCACAGCTATTTCCAAACACGAGAGAGCACCAAGATTATTCACACACAGCACCACCTTGTCTCCTGTTAGAGAAATACAGGTTTAAATATATTTATGTAAACACACTCCTTCAGAATCAACCCTGTGCTGGCCAGTTACACCTCTTACCTGATTTCAGGGACAGATGTGATTTGTTTGAGGAATCAGTCATGTGACTTATTATAGTTTTCACAACTTCATCAGCAGAGGCCACCTGTAAAAAAAATCAAAACCATCAATCTCAAAGGACCATATATTGCTTTTTATTGTAGAGATTATCGGC